TGACAGTCTACTGATACTAAAGAACCCAGATGTGGAGGGCATATATTAACTGCTGATAATATCGGTACCAGGATGAGGGGATCAGACAGCAGTTCACACATCTATGCGAATGCTGCTGCTATCCATCTCAGACTACCGGGGCAGTCACGCCTGCAAACAGTCCTTTCCCCTGGGTCCCCGCTCTGGGCAGCCGCGGAGGGGCGCGGTGGGGCTGGCGGGCCGAGGCGTGCGCCGGGGCCCTGCCGCCCCCGCCCTGGCACGGCGGCCCTCCACCCGCCGCTGCGGCTCCAGGAGACCTGCCCTGGCACCCCGCACCTGGCTCCACCCTGGCCCTCTTGGCCGGGAACGGCCTGGCGAAGGAAAGGACGAGGAGGGTGTCGGAGGATTAGGGCAGAAGGGCTCAGCCGTCTGCCAGGAATTGGGGAAGGAGGGAAAAGACCTGCGCGGAGGCAGCGCTGCCCTCGCTCGCACTGAGCCTTGCGAGCCGGGCCGCTAGGTACCGGTGACGAAGGGGCCCCGAGAACCCCCAGCTGCGAGATGCTCCACGCCCTGGGCAGCTGGAGGAGCAACTGTGCGTGCGCTGCGGAGGGGTGAGGATTTTCGCTTTAGCCTTTGGTGGTCTCGCTGGTTGCCTTGGGTTCCCATGCCAGGGGAAGAGGTTTCGGCCGGTGTATTGAGGAGTTTCTTGCCCCCGAATGAGATAATCAGGGCAGGGGGGCTTTCTCATGGCGAGGAATTGTCCCCATGAGCCACAGTAGGCTTTCCCGCCCCCCCCCCTCGCCCAAACACACAGAGCGCTCCATGCCTAGGGAGCGCTCCCAAGGTGAGTCTCTGGGAGGACTCCTGCCTTACACGCCCAAGCATGTGCTTTCCAGGCAGTGAGAGGCTCACGGCGCCCTGCCCGTGGCCGGCAGTGACACAAGTCCGCCCTACCCGATTACTGCAGAAACCTCCGCTACCGGCGTAGGTGTGCCGGGCACATCATCCCTCCTGGGGAGGGCTGGGGCGACAGAGGGTGTATAACATCGACATGCACAAGCAATCAAATGAAGTTTCTATGAGCTTGCTCAGGGTGGGTCGAGAGGGAAGAGTTGCGACAAGCTGCCCCGGCGGTGTCCTTTTTCAAAGTGTAGGGTTTGGGGACGGTCCTTTACATCTCTCTATGGATGTGTTAGAGTTGTGCTGATGACCAGGAGAGAAGAAAGAGTTCTGTCCAAGATCTGCTCTTGACCCCTCTAACTCCAACCTCTTTAGGAGCGGCTGGCCCCTCTGCAGAGCCCTGCTCCCGCGGCAGGGAGGGCTGTACGGCTGCGGGCAGGGCAACGGGCAGGGCCGACTCCTCGGCGCTGAGAGAGGGGGTAGCAAGGCTGGACAGGGGTTGCCCCGTTGTGCCGGTGGCTTGGCGGAACCAGACACGCACCCGTGTACTGACCCATAGGGACCATGGAGCACCTAAGTCTTTGTATCAAAAAGTTACGCCTACGTCTTTCTTGTTGAGAAAGAATTTGGTGGCGTGTTGCGTGAGACCCTTCCCCTCTGCCCTCCGAGCCCTTCGACAGCTCTGGCTGGCCGAGCACATTTGATTCCCCTTGGGGAGGCACAGCAGCTCGTATAAAAAAGACATTGTTTTCTTTGGAGAGCCCCGTGCGCACTTTCAAAAGCTGATCCTTGAGTTCCCAGCCCCCGCAATCCAGTTGATGAGGAAACGCGCTGCGGTCTTGGTGGCACCGTTTCCATTGGGATTGGCACCATTTGATTGACAAAGTCTCCCATTCTTCCACCTCTTGAGTGTTATCAAAAGGATTGTGTGGGGTCAGAAGCTATTGAAGGGACGTCCGTGTAGCCGCATTTCTGCAAACACGAGGTGAAAACCGTGCCTTTCTCATGAAAATGCTTCCACCAGGCAAAACGCATCTTATCTTCCTTGCTATCCTTCTTAGCATTTCTTTTTAACTCGAGTGATTTACTAAACAGCATCACCAGGTACACGAACATATCACTAAAGGCAGCCTAGGCAGGACCCTGTCGGGGCGGCCACTCTCTCCGGGGGCTGGGGGCAGCCATCTCTGTTCGACGAAGCTCGGGTGGAGGGTTTGAAAGAAAAGGGTGAGCGACGGAACATGGCAGCAGCAAAGAAGTTTTCTCGCCCCTTGTCTGCGATGTGACTCGCCCTGTTATAACTCATTTGGAGAGGGAAAGAAGGTAGAGGGTCTGACCTGCTTCCGTTTCACCGAGTCGATCTAGCGGGGCTAAAAATTGCTGTCGGGACCCGGCGGGGCGCAGCTGTGCCTGTACGAGCGCCAGTGTATTCCTAACTCAGCAGTCAGACCCACACAGATAGTTTCACCCGCTCCCCAACAAAGGTGAACGGAGTGCTCCTTCATTAACTTGCCTCTACCAGACCCTGCGCAGAGCCAAGGCCGGAGTCGCTCGGGATAACCTAACGGAGCAATATTTCGGAGGCAATATTTCGCTGCTGTCCTTCCAGCGGGAGGATAAATAAGCTCTCCCAACCGCAGCCGGAGGCAAAGGGGGTCGTTCCGGCGGAGCTCCGGGGACGGCGCAGGGCGGCGGGGCGCCTCTCCCGCCCCCGCACCCAGCGCTCCGCGCACCGTTGCCAGAGCTGGTGCTGGTGCCTCCCCAGCTGCCCCACCTCGCACGCATTGGATGGAAAAGGAGTCGCTGCTTCTGCCCACAAATTGCGCGGCCACTTGCCATCTTTCCTCTCTGATTAAAGCCGACCGCAGCGTCATTTAGTGGATCCTGTGGGATTTAATTTTTTTTCCCTTCCATCCACCCCCTTCTTTTTAACGCTCATGAAACAGGCACGGAGCTGGTGTGTTTGAGAAATTCGGGGGGGGAAACAACAACCATAAACCCAAAACAACCAAACCACCAAGTGTCTCTTTCTGTAGGAATAAAACCAAAGACCGTACTGAAAAACGCGCAAAAAGTGGGCAGGGGGGAGGGGGGGGAGAAGAAATGTTCCAGAAATTTGGAAAGACAAGATTGTAAGATTGTGAAAGAAAAGAGGAAAGAGAAGAGATAAAAGCAAACGCCTTTCTAGCCCGAAGTCGCCCTTCCCTGCCTTCAGTGACCCAGCGGGCTCACAACCAGCCCACTTCGGGATATTCAACCTTGAGGGAGCTGATGCCGAAAGAAGCAGCTGAGATGATGTAAGAGAGCTGGAGACCTGATTGAAGGAAAGTTCCCCCGATTATATTTGTGTGGAAAAGCTCACCTCTTGCAGAGCTCTAAAGTGTAATCAAGACTGAGGCTTACACTTGAAGGATGTTAACTCTCATACGGGAACCTACTTGCTCCTAAACGGTTTCTTGCCTAGTGAATGAGAGCCTCCCAATTGAAGCAAAATGATCCTTATGTACTAATATCAAGCACAGTCACAAAGCGACCGGCTATTTATGCTGCCACTTTAGACAAAGATATTTAGTTATTCCTGGGTAGCAAGTGCACTTTTGCATTTTTAAGCACGAACCAGCCGAGCACAAACATATTTACAAGCGCAATTACTAAATAGTTACTTGACACTTCAAAGTCCCAGGGTTAACTGTACCTTCGCTGTAATTTTCTGAATATCCGTGTAATCGCTGTATTAAATTGGGTTTGCCAGGGCCGTAGGCCGGAATGTGAAACACTCAGGGGTGGTTTCTCTCCTCCGCCCAGATCACCCCGAAATATAAGCTTTGGAGACACTAGGCATTGGGAGATTTCTTCAAAGCCCCGAGTGTCATTAGCTGCTGGCTGCCTGTACATGTGTGTGTGGCTGTGAATGGATCGCTTTTGTTTTCACACCGGATCCGAGAACAGATCTGAAAGTGCCAGAAATTGCAGTTCATTGGAAACTACAGGGAATTCATTGGCAAGGTCGTGTAGCAGATGACCTGAGAGGTCTTCTCCATCCAGCTCCCGTGCTGTATAAATAACCTTAGAAAGCAGCTTCAGGTTCAGAAGGACCACGAGTGCCTGTGAAGAGTCTTTGCCTTTGAGAATAACAAGCGACATCTTGCGCTAACCTATTTTTCATCGATGTCTCGCCCCAGGCAATTAAATTACTGCTTGATTTTGGAAACTTGCATCTTCCACCTATCCCTGAGATATCAAAAAAAAAAAATCCCTAGGTGAAAGGAACTTTTGGGTTTAGGGAGAAAACCGATTCTTACACCGTGTGTCTTAGAGAGTGTTCCCGAGATGCTGAACCCCAAGTGCTTGTTCAGCCTCAGCCGGTCGGGGCATCTGACAGTCCAGTGCGGGCAGTGCGGGGAGCGGGGAGCTGTGGCCCGGCGGGAAATGTCTGCCCTCCGGAAAGTTGCCCTCCTGACGGCGGGGCTCCTTCCGGACCAAACTTAGTGGGGGAAGAGGGAGATTTGGTGCTTTAGCTCACCGGCATTCCACCCCTTTTCCGCAGCTCTCACAAAGGCTGGGCTGACAGCCTTGCCACCCGGGAGCTGTTTTTAAATCTTTTCACCCAGTCAAACGGTGGTCTTTTTGCCTTGCCTTCTATTTCCCGTCCACGATATTGCCACCCCCGAGAAAAATAAAATGAGTTGTGCTCACAGGGTCTCTCTCTCTTTCCCCCTCTCTCTCCCGTCCTCTCTCTCTCTTTTTCTTTTTTTTCCCTCTTTTTTCTTTTTTTTTTAAGACATAAAAAAAATCATGACAAGTAAAACTTAAAGGTGTTTACCTTGTCATCAGCATGTAAGCTAATTATCTTGGGCAAGATGTAGGCTTCTATTGTCTTGTTGCTTTAGTGCCTATGCCCCGCCTCTGGTGGCAGCCTAAAACCTGGCGTCTGGCTAAAACAAACGAAAGGCAGCCCTGAGCCTCCACTCAATCCAATTAAGGCGGACTTCGTCCACTCGGTTACGTGTACATCCAACAAGATCGGCGTTAAGGCAACACCAGAATATTTGGCAAAAAAAAAAAAAAAAAAAAAAAAAAAAAAATTTGCCCCCCCTTCCTTTTTTTTTTTTTTTCCCCAGCCGCCGAATCATGTCGATGAGCCCAAAGCATACGACTCCTTTCTCAGTGTCTGACATCTTGAGTCCTTTGGAGGAAAGCTACAAGAAAGTGGGCATGGAGGGCAGTAACTTGGGGGCTCCCTTGTCAGCCTACAGACAGTCTCAGGTTTCTCAGCCGGCCATGCAGCAGCACCCCATGGGCCACAACGGAACAGTGACTGCCGCCTACCATATGACAGCGCCAGGGGTCCCCCAGCTCTCTCATGCTACGATGGGGGGCTATTGCAATGGGAACCTGGGCAACATGAGCGAGCTGCCGCCTTACCAGGACACCATGAGGAACAGTGCTTCGGCAGCAGGATGGTACGGCACCAACCCGGACCCCCGCTTCTCCTCAAGTAAGTCATCCCGGGGCTGGGTTGTCGGCGGGGGTTGGCCGCGCAGCTGCCCCGCCAAACCGCGGGCAGCGGGCGCCGGGGGCTCCGCGCCAGGGCAAAAGTCGGTCCAAATCTCAAACGCAACCCCCACCCCCAAATTACTCTTTCTGCATGAAGATCGTGCCCGGTCCCTCCACCCTAGCTGCTTGCATGTCAGCCTCCCGCGGCTGCTTTTGCGGGGTTGGGGATTGGAAGCCCGCGCTGGCGGGGAGAGGGAGACGGGGGCTCGCCGTCCAGCGGGGCTGGAGTGGCGCGGCCCGGGGGCCCAAAAGGAGCCGGCGGTGCCCGTCCGCCTGCGCGCCGCCCGGCACCGGGCAGGCGAGAGGGGAAGCCGAAGCCGCCGGGGCCGCGTCCCGAGAAGCGGCGGAGCGGGCGAGTCCGCCCCGGCCGGCGCCGGCGGAGCCGCTGTCCGCGGCCGCTGCCGCGCTGTCACAGATACTTGCGTGGCTATCCCCCCGGGAAGGACGAGGGGCGAGTGGCTGGCTTTATTCACCAGGGCCGGGCCGAGAGAGAAGGGGTCCGTTGACGCGCCGCTCGCCCCGGGGGCGCAAGTCGTTGTTTAGAAGCGCGGGCGCCCCGAGGCCGGGGCTGGGCTCCGGGGGGCTGCGGAGCTCCGCTGGGGGCAGGCGGCGGCGGGGGCTGCCCGGAGCGCGGGCCCCTCTCGAGCCGGGCCGGGCCAAGCCAAGCCGCCTAAAACGTGCCGCCTTCTCCATTGCAGTCTCCCGCTTCATGGCGCCGTCCTCGGGCATGAACATGGGCGGCATGGGCAGCCTCGGGTCCCTGGGAGACGTGAGCAAGAGCATGGCCCCGCTACAGAGCACGCCGCGAAGGAAACGGAGGGTCCTTTTTTCCCAGGCCCAGGTCTACGAGCTGGAGAGACGTTTCAAGCAGCAAAAATACCTCTCCGCCCCGGAGAGGGAACATTTAGCCAGCATGATACATCTCACCCCGACTCAGGTCAAAATCTGGTTCCAGAACCACCGCTACAAGATGAAACGCCAGGCCAAAGACAAGGCTGCACAGCAGCAGATGCAACAGGAGAACGGCTCCTGCCAGCAGCAGCAGTCTCCCAGAAGGGTGGCGGTGCCAGTGCTTGTGAAGGATGGCAAGCCCTGCCAAGCAGGCTCCAACACACCCACAGCAGCTATCCAGAGCCATCAGCAGCAGGCAGCTACAACGATCACAGTGGCTACCAATGGCAACAGCCTCGGACAGCATCAGAGCCACCAGACAAACAGTGCGGGGCAGTCTCCAGACATGGGACAGCACTCGGCCAGTCCGTCCTCTCTGCAAAGCCAAGTCTCCAGTTTGTCTCACCTAAACTCTTCTACTTCTGACTATGGCACTGCCATGTCTTGCTCCACCTTGCTATACGGTAGGACCTGGTGAAAGGAATAAACAAAGAAAAAAAAAAAAGGCAAAAAGGAAAAAAAACCCCACCAGATTTTCCCAGTTACACAAATCTCTGTCCTCTCAAAATTATTGTGTGTTTTTATTTTTTTTTTTTAATTGCCTTTTCCCCCCTCCCCTCCTTTCACTGAATGGTTCTCTGCGGACCTCTAAGAGAGAGACTTTTTTTGTTCGGTTTTGTTGTTACTCATGATGGGTTTGGGTCTTTATTTTTTTCCCCCCAAAGTTGTTGTATGGGGTGTTCAAAAATATTCTGACTAATAACCGTGGAGCAGTCTGCAGAAAGGGGACCATCATTAAGCATGGTCCAAAGGCTTGGATTTCAGATGTACACTTTGCCAGCGTCTAGGACTTGCATGTAAATACAGAGATTTTGGGGGATGAGGTGGCTTTCCCCCCCAGAAAAACGCATTCGCGTCACCCAGACACAGGAAGCAGCTTTCCCCTCCCCGGTCTCTCCCAGCCCATCTCCAGGGCCAGCGGAGGAGACGTGGAGTCATCAAAGGCTTGGCTTTTATTTTCCTCCTTACGTTTGATGTGAACCTGTAGCTGTATAATGCTGTCAAAAGTTGGACTAAACCCATAGTTTTTAGTAGCCTGTATATTTTGTTGTAAAAAGAAAAGGAAAAAAAATCCAATCAACCAAACCAACCCACGTTTTTTATGGACACTGATCGCCCCGTCGTAAATCCTCTGGCAGTTTGTTATTTGCGCACGCCGCCTTTTCCTGTTGTAACTTATGTAGATATTTGGCTTAAATATAGATCCTAAGAAGCTTCTAATAAATTATACACATTACGAATATTCTTTTTTTATTTCCCTTTGGTTCCTCCTCCAAACCCTCCGTTCCTTGCTCTTTTTTTTTTCCTTGATGGAAAAACAAACCGAGATGTTGCCAGACGCCGGAAGGCCCCTGCCCCTCCCAGGGCCAGGACCCTGTTCCCAGAGGGGAGCTGCGCCAGAGAGTTAACGGGATACAGGATCAGTCCTCAGCGTGCAAACGGGACAAGCAAACGCGTGGAATTCACGAACTCGAATGCGAAGGGACCGAGTCCAAATTCATTAGCCCGATTATTGAGGGGAGGGCGGTATGAGGGGGGCGGGGGGCACCTCAGCGACTTCTTGCTAAAGAAAGCAAAGTATTCCGGGGCCAGAAATTCAAATGTCAAAGGCACAGAGGAGAAAGAAGGCAAAAGTCTAACGCCACTAGAAAAAAATAAATGACGCAGAACCTGCTTTCAGTATAGAATATGGGGCTGATTTAAAGAGCGTCCAGTTTTAATACCTTGTAAAAAAAAATAATTTCTACCAGGTTTTCCTATGTACTTGTATTTTAAGGGAAGTACAGTCACCTTATTTATAATCAAAATAAAAAATAGTTTATTGTGTACGACATGTAGTTTGAATTAACTTTCTTTATCAGGTTATGTTTAATTTTCTACGCATACGCAACCCCCGCAAGCCCATCCAAGCACACGGCCACGCAAGTTCCCCTGCACAGCCCACCCCATCACCCAGACGGAGGTTAGCTGCAGTCTGCGGCTTGCCGGAACACAGACGGGGTTTGGTGGTTTTGGGTGCTGTTTTTCGAGGGAGTTTTGTGGCTTGTTTTGTTTTGTTTTGTTTGTTTGGAGGGTTTTTATGCAGCGATTTGAGAAGTTTGTGAAGAAGGACATGAGGAGAAAGTGCTTGTGCGCGCACGTGGGTGGGTGGGTGTGTGTGCGCGCCCGGCTGAGACACCGAGGGGCGCTTGGTAGGAAGGTAAATATCGGTAATGAAAGGCAGTTAGATATTAACTTTTCTGTAAATATATAAAGCACGTGAAGCTAAACAACTCGTATCTGACGAGTCTGAAATCCCTGTAATTCACTATCTTTCAGGTCCCAAATATCCCTTTTGTGGGTGCAACAAAATAAGAAGTCCCCCATCCTAAAAGACCTCCTAGCATGTTTTCCTTCGCATCTGCTGCTCGGTTTCGGGTTTTTTATCAAATCCTCTCAGTTAAACAACGGAAGAGGATCGCAGTCATTGAAATACCTCTGAATCACACAGTTGTTATGAAATACTAATATTTTTGAAGTGAAAGGAAGGAACTTGCCTGGGATGGAAACAACCCAACCTCCAAGTTAAGTAGCAGCTTTCGAAAGTCTTTTATTTATACAAGATAGCCGGTGTTAGTCGGACACCAAGTGCTAGTCTGGATGGAGAAGAAGGGAAATACACGGAAGAAAAAAAATATTATCAGATTCTTTCTGACCACCTTCTCCTTATTTCTAAATGGAGGATATCACTTGTGTCAACGGGAATTTCAAGACCTTTCATTCTTTGTATTATGTCCTGCTGTATACAGCGACATTCTCAAGTAATCCAAAGAATATTCCATATTTTTTTCTTTCCAGATCTATAGCATCATGTTAAGCATGGTGGGGGACGGGGGCGGGGGAAGGGGGGGGGGAAGGGCGCGGCGGACTGTCTGGAGCTTAGTGCTGTTATTTCTGCTAAAAGAAGAAAGTGTTGGGGATTTCTGGTCCGTGGTGCAGCGCTACCAGCTCCCGTGGAGGGAGTGAGAACAGGGTTGACTCTACGGATTTTTTAAAATTAGGTTAATTTCTCCCGGAGATTATATACAAGACCGTGGGGAAAGTGCTGTAGTTAAGTCGACATTTCCCCTTCAGATGTAATTAATGTTTGCATTCTTTCAAACCCAGGAACGTTCGAAAGTGAGTAGCACTGAAAGGCATTAATACAGCCGATAAATATTATACCCCCGCCCCCCAATACTGGAGTTAGCGTGTTTGATAGAGATCCAGCCAGTAACTTTTCATTATAGACTTCGGGGAAAATACATTAATTTTATTGTGTCTCGGCAACCTCATAAACACATATTTGGTGGTGGGTGTAATTACTGTAATGGATTATTATGTACACTGACTTATCTTTCTTAAACTAGATTTAGTTTCGATTAAATAAACTCGTTTCCACTTTGTCTGATGTCGGCTTAGTTTAAAGTCTGTTTACTTGTTCCACAGAAAGGTGAATTCATCTCTTTATTAGGCACTAGAGACCGAGCAAACACAGTTCAAACTGTATTTACATATCAATCAGGAGAAATGCAAACAAACTGCTCTTTAACAATTTTTATAGAGGTTTTTTTTCACAACATAATATAAAAAAAGATATTTGTGTCGCTCATATTTATTTTTTAAAATAAACTAGTTATGCTTTGATTAGGATGAAGATATTTTGGGGAGGGAGGGAGTGTAAACATATTTTAGTCTCCGGTGTCCCCTGAGAACACTCACGAGAACTCGGTCACTGTATAGTTTTTTAAATTGAAATATGTGCCTCCATCTAAACTCCTGCTTCTTCCAATACGCTGATTTTCGGTCTCCCGGTAATCAATGCGGAACTTGAATAATGGGATGGCGAAGGGGAGGGGCAGCATGATTCAAATCTGAAATGATGGAAGAGATGCACGTTTCTCACTGTAACTGCTTTATCAACACTAGACCATGGGTACCCCGTATTTTGAGAGATAAAAGGATCTAGTGAAGAATGACTATTCCCTCCCACTTCCCCACTGCCTGGCACTGCCTATAAGTGTAGGAGAACCGCGGAGGGCATTTTTTTCTGCTGTAAATAGGAGTTCATGTTTAAGTGCCATGAAGTGTGCATGTAGTGGCACAGCAGGCTGGGAGGAGGGGGGGTGGAAAGAAAAAAAAAAACCAACCAACAAACCAAACCAAAAAAATTAAATCCCAAACCAAACCCAAACAAAAATCCCAAAACTTAACAAAACCATATCACTACTACGGCCACAACAGTAACAATAGCAAAAGACTGCTTCATGTTTTCTCCTTCACATAAAAACGGGCTGTGGGTTGTTGGCTTTTTTTGTTTGTTTCAGAGCAGCCTATTAGCAAAAGGGATGCACGGGAGGAAAGGCTCAGGGGAGCCGGCGGCGCTGGGGCTTGCCCCGGGTGCTGCCGCGGCCCCGATAGTGGAGGACGGGAGCGGCGCGGCGGTGTCACTGTACTCACGGGGCAGAAAGGGATGAAGCTGATCTCAAAGTATATTGCCTGCACCTCGTCCAAAACGCAGTGCAGGGCCTTAAGACAGTGTTCAAAGTGCAGATCCCAAACACTGTAATCTGAGACAGCTCTGAGATGACACCAAGAGAAGTTGCAACGGCAGGGAGGGGAGGGAAAAAAGTAGTATTTTAGGAGTTTTGTAGCGCAGTGCAGGTAGAGGGGCTTCGCCGGGAACGCAGCCCCGGTCCAACTTGTGGTGACAGCTGCCTTTAGTCTTTACAAAGGGGATCTAGAGGTAAAGACTGAGTGAATTCTGAAGAATTTAAGTCCTTTCATGGCTGTGTCGGGAGCAAAGCTGAGAAATACTTTTTTTTTTTCTCTCTGACCCGCTGTTCCTCTCATGATCCCCTTCAGGGAGAAAAAAACCCTTCAAACTCTAAGTTAATGGTAATACTGTTTATATGTATCAAACGAGCAAAGATCTGACCCAGTGCGGTTGTTCCTATGAGGTAGAGAGATGACTGTCAATGGCAAATTGTTGAATAATACGAAATTACTTTTTTCCCCTCTCCCTTTTCTGACTGCAAGCACATTAGGGAGCAGGTAAGGTCAAAATTTTCTATATCCTATGTCTTTCTTTCGAAGGCTTCTGGTCAGCTTTAAAAATAAAATGGTGAATGATGTATTGATGTTAAAAGAAACTGAAATTCGTTTTAAAGCTTAAAACAACTTAATACGCAGAAAATTTCTTGGTAAACCTGAAGTTGAAAACATAAAATATGACATTTAATCTTCAATGTAAAGATTTTTGTTAGGGGGAGGATGAAGAGGGAAATTGGTATTTTTGTTTTAACATGACACAGAGATTACAAATGGCCGAATGCATTACCTCCGAAAGACAGTGTAAATCTACTGTCCTGAGCCGGAGTATAGAAATGGGGAAAAGGGTTAAAAACGTATATTCTAAAAATATTTACCTAGATACTTAGGTCCGTTTTTACTGGCTAACTCCATATCCCATGCTAGTAACAACATCTGAATGAGATGACAACTCTCTTCTGCGATACAGT